TGATGTCACAATGACTACCATCGATGTTAAAATGTCCACCTTGTCGTTGCCCATCACCGATGTCACAATGACCTCTATCTAGTTGAATAATGTCCTAGTATAATACGTATGTTAATGTCCTTGGATTCATCACAAAGACATTGTGGCAATATATGATATGAAGGAGGTTGAGCAGACATTGATCAAAGAATTGATCTGGGCATTAACACGCTTCCGCGACTGATTTCTGAGATTCCAGCGGGCATTGAACACTTTTAGAAAATAAGTGGACATTGAATTTCGAAAATCCAGTAGACATTGAAATCGGAGAAGAAGGCCGCGGAAAATTGAATCGGAGAAGAAGGCGGCAGAAAATTGAATCGGAGAAGAAGGGTGCGGCGGAAAATTGAATCGGAGAAGAAGAAGGTTAAATTTAGAGGTGAGAGGGTAAAATAGGGAGATCAGGTGCAAATTAGTTCCATTTTTGGAAAAAAAACAAGTGGTACTAAAAGGGGAAAGGCACCAAGTTTTGGTTCCATACGGGGCAAATTTAACTTATTTTAGTGATTAGTACAATGTTTTAGACTTTTAATTCTATTAGGGGTAATTTCTCGAATGACAAAGGTTATTTAGATAAAACAAAATTATGAAATAAAAATGTCAACAAGGAAGTACACTTTAAAAAGTACATTACGTCTTAGCACAAGCAATTTTAACAATTAAATCATTCTAAAAAAAGTCATGTAATGCAACATAAAATGATACGGAGTATCAAATAGTGTTTGGATCTTCCACTCATGGAATAAGATTTCTATGTGTTTGGGTGAACAATACCAGCATATGTACATATATACTAACGCCTCAATTTTGTAGAAACGAGAGATAAAATCATAACAAGATAAGACAGAACGTCTCCCAATAGCAGCCACCGCATGAACGCAAATAAATTGATCAAGTTGGAATTCACATGTGCATGTTTTGTCCTTTAATGATAGTCCAGCAAAGTATGTAATGTAGATATTACCAGTGTCATAATCTGTAATGTGGTGATGAATATTAAGAACTATTGTAATGTAAAGTGTCACAGTATGTAATGTAGTAATGTGCATTACAAAGAGTTGTAATGTAGACGGGGCAGGATTGTGAAGTGTGGCGCGGAAAGGAAACGGAGGGCAAAATCGGGAGAGAAAGAAAGAATATGGCGAGAGAGGTCCTAGTTGGGGGATAAAAAATATGAACTCCTATTTTAGGGATAAACACAATATTTTAGTCCTATTAGGGGTGATTTCTATAATGAAATGTGATGACATAAGGAAAGAACAAACTAGAAGAAATTAAATAGGGCCTTACTACAATATTTAGAATTTTAAATGATGTGGAGTCTCTAACTTACTCCTAATTTGTATCCATGTCCTCTAATCTAAAGATATACATTTTCCATCTCAAATTATGATTTTAGAATAATTTAAATGCATGTAAAAATAATTCATGAATTATAAATAATTTACAAAAATCTTGTAAAATTCTGTTGATAATATAAACTTAAAACAATTTATTGATTTTACAAAATTCATTGTTTCTAAATCAACTCTTAGAATTCTTTAATAGAAAAATCAAGAGTGAATCCTTTCATTGGTCCTTTATAACAGGGGGTTTCCATATCTAGTCTTCTATTATCAAATATTACTCCCGTAGTCCTTTTTTTAAGAATACCTTTCCACAAATGGTCCTTTTTTTGATCTTCTGTCGTGTTGGTGTAATTTAAAGGCTAAAAATATAATTTGACATCAACATTATGTTTAGTAACATGTTCTGATATTGATTAAGCGAATAACACAAAAATAATGACTATGATTGTGGGCTAGGATTCTGACGAAAGACCACATTTGTAGTTGTAAAAAGCGACTATAAGTCACAAAAGATGCAAACAGAACAACTTTTGGAATTGTGTATAACAAAAAAGATATATAATCATTGTCAAATTATCAAAAAAAATTTATCAAAAAGGACCCAAATTTACTCGAAAATCAATTAAGCAAAGGTGAAGTCATGAACCCTATTCTTCATTCTTTCTTCAATTCTTCACGATCTCCGTAGGTAAAGCCGTTTTGCCCGTTCTGTTTCTGCTGCTTCTCTCGGCGGCAACGAATTCCGACGGCAGGAGAGATTCAGTCGGAGGCGCTATTCGGTTTCCTTTGGAAGCTTCGAGGTACCAGGTATTTTAGCGTTGCGTTTAATTTGGGACTGAGTATGTATCCATGAATATTCAATAGTTGTGCAGATTTTTTTTCAATAATTGTGCAGATTTAAAACCTAGATTCAGGAGTAATTAAATTTGGTGAAAATTAAATAAATGATCCCTTATAATGTGGTTTGCCATATTTAGTACCAATTTTAGAATATTACAAAATTCACAACTTTGTCTTTTTAACACTTCCTAGAAATAAGATGCACTCAAATAATAAAAGATATTTTATTTTAAAATCCACAAAAGACAGTTTTGTAAAGTTTGTGAATTATATGTTCGTGACTCTAGCATTTTCCTAATCAATATTTCATGACAATATATGAAAAAATATTTGGTCATATTTGACCTAAAGACTAATTATTGAGGATCACAAATCTAATATACATGATATTAGAATTGGGGACTAAATATACAAAACCACATATTATAAGGACCATTCACGGAATTTATTCTTAATTTTGTATACTGACACATTGTTACTTTAGTGCTACTGGATGAAGTTAGATTCATGCTTTTGTAAGAGATCCACACCTTATGTTACATTAGGCAACAATGTGTAAATGGGTACGTACTAGGGGACTCAGATTTTATTGATATGGTTAATTATGTGGTAATGCAATATCGTAGCTTTAGGGCAATATCGTATTTGGTCCATGTCATGAAGATTCAACCAAGTTTTACGTTGGTTGCTGAGACCTAGCACAACCCTCCTCTTTTATCCGACTTGGGACCGGCTTTAAAAATGATAAATGTTCATTACACTGCGCTTGATTTCAGTATATTGGCACCAATTCTGCTAATGACGACTTTGCATTTGAGGATGAGAACTCTCTATTGTCACCTTTAAGAGTGGTAAGCCAACACGACGCTGAACTCCTTCATTTTTTGCACAAGGTTTGTCTCTTATAGTCTTTCCTTGAATAGATGCAAGATTAAGTGTTTATTTTTACCTTTGTGTTACTTTATCTTCCTTACATGTTTTTACAGTATCTCCAGGCACCTGAAGACTCTGTTAGGAAGGTTGAAGCACAGAAGGAGTTTGTTGCAGCCATGTCTCACAGAATGCATTTAGATCACAGCATGAGTCTTGTTGGCAAGCTCTTATTTGGCATTGAAAAAGGTCCGGAGGTGCTAAAAGCCATTCGACCAGCTGGGCAACCTATTGTTGATGATTGGGACTGCCTCAAGAAAATGGTAATTAATGCTTTCAATGTGGAACTACTCTCTCTCTCTCCCTCTCCCTCACGCACATAGTTCTTGTTGATGAATGCAGGTAAGGATTTTTGAGGCACATTGCGGATCCTTATCCGGGTACAGTATGAAACACATGGGATCTCTTGCAAACATATGCAACGCTGGAATTCAGATAGAGCAAATGAACAAGGCATCGGCTGAAGCTTGCACGGTTGTTCCTTTTGGTTCTTGGAGATCTCTTCACTGAGGATTCTCTGCATAAACGCAAGAAACAATCAATGCTACTCATATTAATGCATGTGTAAGTGTAACACCCCACATTTTAGTGTGCTTGATTAATGAGACAATAAGTCTAACCTTAAGTGTAAGTGTAAGGTTGGAACTGCTTTTCCAATTCCCGGTTCGAATATATATATTTGGTGTGTTTCGCATGCTATCGTGATGCACGGGGAAAATGTAAAGTTGCCAAAATGCCTCCTGACAAGGTGGCAATTTACCAAAATATCTGCCTGGTCTGAGTTTCTTCACGAAGCCTCGACCCGTAACCTCTCTCCCTCCAACAATTGATCCTTTGTTGTCCTGGCCCCTTCGTGGCAGGTTACTCCATTACCCGTTCCTGCTATTTGCTGCATTGCATTGGATTGCCCCTGTTTTGCCCTCTTTTTTAAGCTTTCTGTTAGTGCTGGAAAATGGGGTATGTCTTTGATGCCTGTTTTTGCTGCTATGGGTTTGCTGGGAATCTAATATTTCTCATTCCTTGCTGTTTTGGGTTGCTGGGTCCTAACTACTCTGAATCTTTTCCGTTTATATAATACTCCCTCCATTTTACTATATTTGTATATTAAAAAATTATAGAAATTATTTATTAATAATCTATATGTTAAGACAAATCAAACAAGATCAGACATGACTATATTTAGGCTTACACATTAAGAGAATTTGATGAGTCAAAGTGCTTAGATGAACAGTTCCAAAAGTCAATAGTGGACGAATATAGCGGGACGGAGGTAGTAATTAATTGAATTCATTTGGATGTATCCTCATTAAAATGCTTAACACTATATTTGGTTCAAGGAATTTGAAAGGGAGAAGAAAAGAAAATGAAGTGGAAAACAATTTTTCAAGTTTGGTTGGGGAGGAAAAGTGCTAAGAAAAAGAAAATGAGGACAAATGTACTAAGTGGAGGAAAACCAAATTCCTCCCATTTTTGCGAGGAAAATGAGAGAAAATCAATTTCTTTTCTTTTCCTTCCCAAATCCTTGAACCAAACATAGTGTAAGTGTATTCAAATAGAATTGAACAGAAGTAAAAAAAAAAATACTCCGTAGAAGTAAATAGCATCAATAACCGCAGTGCTGAAAAATAGAAACATCAGAACTTTCATCATGTAATCAAAGGCAAGGCACACAAAGCAGCTCCACGGCCATGTAATACCCCGCATTTTAATTTAACTCTTCTAATAGATACAATCAAGAACATTACAAATAATTAATAATGTTGAAATTGATATGAAATAATTTAATGTGTCCAATTAAATTAAGAAGATTCCAAAACAGTTTAGAAATAGATTCACGGCCATGTAATACCCCGCATTTTAATTTAACTCTTCTAATAGATACAATCAAGAACATTACAAATAATTGACAATGTTGAAATTGATATAAAATAATTTAATGTGTCCAATTAAATTAAGAAGATTCCAAAACAGTTTAGAAATAGATTCCAAAAGTCTGAAATAAAACAAATTGATCAGGAAATAATGAAAGGTGAAGTTGAAAAGTAGACTTGGTAAGATACCGAATGGAGTGAAAAAAAAATTAAAAATATTTTAAAAAAATAAAAAGAGTTGAAAGTCGATAAAAATTGAAAGAATCCGATGTAATGGAATGGATTACAAAATTTGTTCTTTATGTTGCAAGTATTAGTAATGAAAGGAAAAGAAAAGAAAATGAAGTACGGAGTATAAAATAGTTTTTCTTGTTTGGAAGAAAATGAGAAGGCAAAGAATAAAACATTTTTCTTTCTTTTTCTTCCAAATTTTTATGAGAAAGAATGAGGAAAAACATTTTTATGAGAAAGAATGAGAAAAAACATTTTTCTTTCTTTTTCTTCCAAATTTCTTTAATCAAACATAGTGTCAATGATCTACCAGACAAGAGACAAGTCTTACATGTAAGTAGAAAAGGGAAAGTGAATTTCTTCCTTTTAGTGGCACTGCTGATGCCACAACCCGCTGGACTGATGGCCTAGCAAAAAAACAAGAATGCAGACCTAGAGATATATATAAAAGATTCTCGCTGAATTAAAAACTGAGAAGTCTTGGGAAAGTTCACCAGGTTCGAGCTCCAGCGGTGGCATTGATTCTTTATGCGTTATTAGGTTGAGAAATGTATGAACGCATATTGCGTGATAGAACCAATAACATTAAAAAAAAAATACCGAGTTGTGGCTCATTAAAAAAATATGATTTTCTTCTAGTTACAGTTTAAAAGCTAACTCGAGTTTGATTTTTACTGTGAACGGACAAAAGCTCAAACGAGTTCTAACAAACTAAACTTGAAACACTTTCAATCGATTTAGATTTATTTTCTATACGAAGCTCCAGAACCGAACACAACATTATTGCAAACTCAAACATAGCCATAGGAGCCCCACCTCGAGACCAATCCACCCAAGAGATGCTTCTATTTGCCAAGAGATTGGCTGCTTTGATGGTTAACATGGTTGGGAAGTAGTGCTCATCTACGTACCAAGCTGCTGGTGTGTAGAACAATTTGAACTTGGGGTAAACTCAGACAAATAGCAAAATCGTGATTTTTATCCTTCTGTGAATCCAAAACTAAAATTGAATCATAACCAAAAGACCGCTTAAAATAGTGTAGAGTAGTCGCACCAATAAGCAAGATTTGAGCATGACCCTCGCTAGTAGGATTTCACTAATGGTTTGGTTGGAGATTTCAATTACAAACTAGCAGACACACAAAAAAAAAAAAAAAAAATCTACTCCGTACTAATTATCTACGATGAGTAAAATAAATCCCGAAGGGCCTCTATAAATCAAATACTCTTTTTCCTAAAAACGACAGTAAATAGTTTATGAACTCCAAACCACATCCTACCAAAGTTCCAGTAGTGAGTGCTAGTGTGAGTTTCAACCTTACAGCAAGTCTAAAACAGAATTTTAATCTAAAACAGAGTACAAAGATGTGCACAAGATTGGAAATGGTTTTAGCCAAATGGTTTTTGAGTTTTTTATCTTTGGTTTTTACTTATGGACACATTTAAAGGTTTTTCAAATTTTTAGTTTTCAAAAACCATAACCTTTGGTTTTTAGCATTGGTTATCGGCATTTAGCGTTGGTTGTCAACATTGATTTTTGGCTTTCATATCAACCAAGTGATTTTAATGTTTTTATCTTTGGTTATCACTCCTATGCATATTTAAATATTTTCCAAAGCTTTATTTTCCAAAAACCACTCTTGGTTTATGGTCTTTGGTCTAAAACCGTGGAAACCATCATTCACTTGGTGATCCGTGAATTTTACCTTAAAGGTTTAGTTTTTAAAATTTACGGCCTAGTTTTTACTTTATCTCCCTCTGTCCCTGAGTGTTTGTCCACTTTCATTTTTGCACACCATCCAATGCACTTATTTAATCCATTTTATCTTGTAATTTGTATATTAAAAAATTATAAAAATTATATATTACGGAGTAATAATCTATATGTTAAGATGAATCAAACAAGATCACACATGACTATTTTTAGGCTTACACATTGAGAAAATTTGATGAATCAAAGTGTTTAGATGAACAGTTTTAAAAGTCAAAAGTGGACAAACACTCAGGGACGGACCAAGTATATCATAAATAAGTATTTTCGACCATTTTTTTATTTGGAAAACTTTGATTTTTGACATCAGTTTTTGACTTTGGTTTTGAACTTGTTTTTTTTAAAACTCACGCGAAAAAAACAAGGTTAAAAGTCTATTTATAGGGGTTAAAGAGTGCATTTTAAGAATTTTAAATTTTTTCTTTCTCGATTTATTAAATATTTATTTAAAAAATCTTCTTAGCAAAGAATTTTTATTTTCCGATCAATTTTTCTTAGGTATCCAGGTTAGATGGACGACTATTGTAGTTTCAATCATGGCTTGATAGGTGATCTTTTTACCTCAGACAACATTGAACTTAATTGTCATTATCTAACATGGGTCTTAGTTGGAGGGCCCATAATATCCCATTTATAAATNAACCCCCCCCCCCCCCCCCCCACCTTGATCCGACCCCAGCCCCTTTGGAGTTGCCTATCTTGTGTACCTTTAGTCAATATAGACAGAAATGTTTTCTCGTGTCTTTCCATTTTTTGTCAACAAGGAATTTCCCAAAATAAACTGCCCATTGTTTAAGAAATGAGAAAACACGAACTGACTACAGCATTGTGAAGGGTTGATTTGAACAGTACTTTCTAAAACAAATGTTCCAAAACTAAATGTTTTGGTTGATGATTAACGCCGCGGGCATTTTGGCATCGACTCATCATCCAACGACGGGGTGCTGCAACGCTTCATGAAGGAATCGAGTGTCTTCTGTTTCCTAGGACTTTTATTTGAGTGGCCTGCTGATACTTCTAGAGACTTCTCTTCCCCATCAAGCATCTACAAATCATGGAGATATCTTAGTATGGAAGCACCACAATTGTCCCTAAGCTTCAGCTGCCATCATCAAGAAAACTTCCCACTGTGTGTAACTTGTGCAAGTGAACATGTGTGTGTCTGTGTAGTGGTGGTGGGGTGGGAAAGTGAAAGGAGGTTAAAATGAACCTGTCCCAAATTCTCCAGTTTACTTTGAACAACATCCCTGGAAAATGTTAAAATGAGTTCACTATTAATATAGATAAAATGAGAAAAACTCAAAGATCTCATTCTACTGTTAAATGAATTGAGCTAAATGTCCACAATTAAATATGAATTAATGTAGTATAATGTAAAATTTAATAAAACAGGCATACCAAATTATGTCATCAACGGTGTCATTTGCCAGCAGATAGTATATATTGACCGATGCTGCCTAAAACAAGATACATTGTATTGCATAAGTAAATATATATGCATCTCTCTCTCTCTCTCTGTGTGTGTGTGTGTGCGCGTGCATACATTCATAAGCATTATGCATAGTTGTATACACATATATACTCATATCTGCACACATAATCTGATATATAAAGAGTGGGAGAGGGGGAGAGAGAGAGAGAACTGTAAACGAAGAGTAATGTGGAACGTGTGTGCCGAACAGAAGGTTAATTAAATGATATTTAAAACAATAATAGTAATTGGTTACAAAGCATCAACTGTTAGTCTGAGATTTGTATATCTAGCAATATCATAAACCACCTGGCCAATTCTATGAGTACGATCTTCTGCTTGAATAAGGTCACCCGGAGTCCAAGATAGCTCTGCAAATATGACTGTGCTTGGTGCTGTCAAATTCAATCCAACACCTCCGGCTTTGATAGATAGCTAAAGACCAAAATTGTTTGTGAAGATCATATTCCACTAATGGACCAAATGCAAAGTACTATGTATATTGAATAATTATATGGAAAGCAGATAAGAAGATAAAATATTTTTGAATGAAAGTAAAAGAGGCGCTGAAAGTACCACTGCAGCCTTTATTGATTCTTTCTCCTGAAAATCTGTAACCAAAGCTTGACGTGATGCTGCTGGAGTACTGCCATCAATGCGAATGCAGCCAACTTTCTTTTTCTGTATATATTATATGACATCTGGTAAGAATTTACTACCTCCAAAAAGTTTATTGAGAGCAAATTACCAAGTTCTTACAAGCAAATACTGGTGTATCGAATCAATCATTTGTAGCTGATGAGCAAATATAAGGAACTTGCAGTCTGCCTGTCCAGTTGAGAAACTGAAAATTAAGCACAGCTTGGAGAACAAGACGAATGTAGCCTTATGAATGTTCTAATGTCCTATGATGCATTCGTTAGACTATCAAGGAATATCAAGAACAGTACACTCTACAGGCAACAGGTAGTTGAACTAAAGAGATCGTTGTCTCTCATGCATGTTAGGTTGGATATTTTATAACATTTTAAAGCAGGACATAACTGATTTGACCAATATTCAACTAGATGGGTGCTTTCAACTAACTAAACTCCGACAAAGTACTAGATCTGTGACAAACAACTACGAATATAGTACCTTTTCCATTTCCCGACTAAAAATAAAAGAACCTTCCAAGGTACAGCTGGACTGGGGACAATGTATAGAAGGTCAACATACCTCAATAACCGTTCCTAAGTAATCCAAAACCGATGGAATCTTGCCCTCCGCAGAAGCAATATATATCTTAAAAGAGTAATCATGCAATAAAGGAAAATGAAATTAGTCAAAAACTGTCCAAGTAAAAAAAACACGCGGGTATGTTTCAAAGAGTTTGACAAACGTAATAAAATGAATGACTAAGCACTATAAGAGAATCAGACATTGAGCACTTCAATATGAGTATATTTCATTTTTTGCTCAACTAAGCTTAATAATAGAAACTACAGTTGCCTTATGACTTGATTCATTAGTTGATAAATAATACACAATGTACTGCAACTACATACCTTATTTATAAGATTCTTCTCGGTTAACTTTAGTGATTCATAATCATCCTTGGATTGGCTTGATTTAATGTTTCCTTTGACAAGCTCCAACTACAAGAAAGAAGATGCAAGATTGGAAAATGTTCAAGCTATAAAAACAACTGCGGTTTTCATTATCTTTTTGGAACACATAATATGCACTGTTTTTTTTACTTTCCAATATCGCTAAAATGGTTCAACTGCTAAAGTTTAAGTCGATGCAAGAAATGGAATTGCCATTACTTCAAAATGTGTTGATAGTAAATGCAAACGAAGAAGAGCCCCTAAAGCAACATTATAATGATGTCAAATTGGCAACTTAGTAGAAAATTCACATGAAAAGAACCTTTGTGGCAACGAAGAGCGAACAATTAACTCACTGTAGAAACAGTTTAGGCTGAAGGACCATCACAAACACAATTAAATTTTACTTCGAAACAATAATGCCACATATTTCAAAGCATTTTTACCACTAAAATTTGTAAGGGTAAAAAAAATTGCTTGTTAACACTTTTCAAGCAGCATATACTTCCACAAGTTTTGACTACCACAACCTCACGGAATAAAGCGTTGATAGACTTCATCTCCTTTTCTTCCAAGTTTAAGAAAACCTGGATATGAGTTTTAGAAATTGAGGTGAGCACAGACATAGAAAACCAGAAAAAGAATATCTCATGTCATATGAAATAGAGCAAACTTCTGTTATAATAATAAAATTATAGAAAGAATAGTAAATATGAACATAGTAAAAATAAAGTGAAGAGAATTCCAAAATGTTCCTTTCTAGTAAGGTGTATTTCCAAATCAATCCTCAATAAGCACCCCCTTATAGAAAGAATAGTACTCCCTCCGTCCGGAAATTTTCTTCCCGTGTTGACTTGGCACGCTTATTAATGAATAGTAAAAAAAATGCAAAAATTTTAAAAATGCACTTACCATAAACTTTTAAATATCCTTTTATTATTAAAAAAGTATTAAAAAAATAGATTTGTGATAAAATAGAAGAGTATAATTGATATTTAGCCTTAAAAAGCATACTAAAAAAGGAAATGGGAAGAATATTTCCGGACGGACTAAAAAGGAAAATGGGAAGAATATTTCCGGACGGAGGGAGTAACTATTATTTGTTTTCTATTTGGAAATTAAATTCATTTTATTTTTTACTTATTGATTCTTTTTTATCCATGTGTTTTAAATCTTTTGCTAGAAGTAATATTTATTATTTTTTGTATTCTATAATTGTTATTTATTTGTCTATCTATAATCAATTATTGATGTTGGCATAATAATATAATATATGAGCCTATAGAATCTTAACAAATCTTGATACAGAATAATGAAATGCATCAAAATCTATACAACTCCGTGTACATTTAAACTATTCATTGTCTTTACATAATACACGGATTATTACAAATCTGACAAAATCTTTAAAAACTCAAATTTAATACACCCCCTTAATTAGAAAGGGCAATTTTGAGATAACACTAAATTAGAAAGAACCGTTTTGAGAACTTATATCAAGTATAGATGATGGAAAGTACAAAGCTACCCCCATACAACAACCATACAACGGATTGAAGGAGGACTATCAAGGAAATAGATCTCAACTATAAAGTACCGCGTAGGTAATTATTGCTTATCGAGGTCTTATTTGAGAAAAGACCTTATTAGAAAGGACCATTTTGGGAATTTACTCTAAAGTGAATGTTGTCCTTTAATGAAAGCACAAAAATCATAACCAAGACGTAAATAGGATCTAGAATAGTACCTGTTGTCTGCGCTTAACAGGAAGCTGTGGGAGGACATCCTTTTTTAACCTGCGAATCATTACAGTTGCTTTCATCAAGTTGTGCAGCTCGTCGTGATTACTGGCACCTTGATAAACTCCAAAAAATCCCTAGAATCATTGATGCAGAAGTTAAACAAAAGTAATAGCATCCTAAGGAAGAGAAAGGTTACTTGACAATAACAAAAAACTTACACCCTTGCAATAACGGTTACCGTACTCGTGAACATTTTTGTAAACATCAGGAAACAGGGCCTCCAGCTGTGAAGTACAACCGTTGAAGTGCCAGCAAACAATAGTGTCAAATATAACAACAAACTATATAAAGTTTCATGTCCAAATATACCTGTTTAAAAAGCTCAATTGGTCTTGACAAAGCAGGAGTTCCACTAAGAAGTATCAAAATATTTGGCTTTCTGCAATAGGCAATAATGCGAGATCACCAATGAAACCCAAACTCCCTTAGTTTAACGGGATGAAGAATCTTAAATGGGAGCTTAGAGCATGGGGGAAGGGGTTAAGTCTCAATCAATTGCATTGCAATTTCGTTTTGACTAAAATTTAATTTTAGTTTAGAGTCCAGGACAAAGACATTTAAGCAGCCAAAAATCTGTTTGCATTACTTGACACTAACAAATAATCTCAAACTTAAGGCTACGTCATAGGATTGAGCTACATAATACATGTACATACTATATATAAAGTCTACTGACTCAAAATGTTCACAGAAACTTATTTCCTCAACTTATTCAATAAGCAATAAATGTACGCTTAACATTTACTTCTCACCATATGATAAACACAAACAGAGTGGTTATATGTATATAGTTTTTTTCCCTTCTTGATGGAGGTTTACCTGCATTATAGGAAGTGATGCATTGGTTCGTTTAGCCTGGGCATTCTTCAAAAAGTGTGATTCATCAGCAATAACTACCTGAACACACATACATTAGCTAAAAAAAAGTTTCTAGCAATTAATGAGTTTTTAGATTAAGCACTTCGATGAAAATGTTCCCTTTTAGCAACTAGATCATTTTATCAGTTATATGGATTTCTATTTTTAGTGTGGCTCAAAACCCACAATGGACAGAAATTGTTTGGGCAAAAATTCCAAGTAATCTGCCCTAATCAGACAGGACTAGTACTTATCTGCCATAATATGCTCTAATTATTCTAACCAACTCTTACGAATGATACCTCCTAAAGTTAGCTGAAAAGATGTTTACATAATGCACCTAAAAGGAGACTTCCACTCAAATAAGTTTACTTTGGTCATATGTACTTTTTGCGTTGCCAACATAGCCTACGTCATTAAACTTGGTTCAGATGGTTGGTTTTAATTTGTCATCATTAAGCTTATTGAACATGGAACAAGTGATTGCGGGACTTTATGGAGCATTTGTTTTCTAATTATTTTAGATATGTTAAGATTTTTGTAGTAAGGTAATTAAAATCTGGCCATGTTTGGACGGGGTTTTGGAAAAAAATAAAGCCCGTTTGGCAGGAAGTAATGTTGTTAGAACCGGATAGGACCGGCTGGTCTGACAAGTCAGACCGTGAAATGCATAGCAATCCGGTCTGACTCAACACTTCAACCCGCCATTGCATTGACCCGCCCCAACACAGAAAACGCAATGGACCCGGCGGACTGGGTCAAACATCTGGGCCACGGGTTTGGACCAAAAACTTTTTCCCTTGAGTTGTCTTTTTACAAAATAAAATGTTGAGAGTGGGATTCGAACCAAAGACCTAACACTTTACTCACCAATACTCAACCCCTTAATATATTACTCGTACTAAACACCTTGTCACCCAATCATGCAATAGAGTATAAATTGTCTCTATGATATATGAGTTGCATAAATTTTAAAAACACTTGTAACTATTTGTAAAATAAAATGTTTGTGGAGTGTATTTATTTTTTGCACTTTCAAAATAGTTGATAGTTCAAAGTAAAAAATCAACATTATTTGTTTTATCATCTTAAATTAATAATAAATAATTTATGCCTAAACACATATTTTAATCTAGAAAAAATCAAGATATATCTACTAAGTATAATAAAAATAGAAAGTATGGAAACTAGATTGAAAAGAGAAAAAACACAAATTTACATTCATTTATTAACTAAAGATATCTATATTAGTATAGTATAAAATGTTTATTTTAAATATAGTTGACCGGGTCATTGACCCGAGTTGACCAGTTCGACCGGTTAGCCCTTAACCTAGTTGCTTGTCCGGGTCGATGCCCGGACCGGTTTTCAACTTTAAGTTACTTTTTTCAGAACATTGCCAATGTTCACCACTGATTTTAAAGAAGTAAAACTGTAATGCCCCGTGGGAAGGTTTTCAGGGCGCTCATGAGTAGTCACTTCCAACCTGTAGGGCCGGGGTGTTACAAAAACAAAGTCTAAATTTACTTCCTAAAGACTGAAAACAGGAAACAGATAGAGCCTTAGTCAGCCTGGACAGAGAGCAGCCCACTCCTCTAAATCACGGAGCAATATGCTCCTAATATTTAAATAATACGCAGTTGGTAAAGAATTCCAACTAAGGTGCACTAATTGAATACAACTCATCAGCCTTCATTGTATTCTCCCGTACTTAGGTCAATAACCAACCTTCACTAATCTGACAGAAGTGTTACAGAACCAAACCTTGAATTCTGATGCCATTAAGGTATCCTTTAGCTTAGGAACAATATCATAGGAAATTATATTAAAGAGACCATCAAGTTGGATAGATCTCTTTGCATTAGATGGCACCACTTTGAATCCTGCCCTATTTGAACCACTTGATTGGGATAAAACCACCTGCCCATGGGTTGAATAGAAATTTAGTAGCAAGAATAGGTGACAAAAATTCATATCCAAAATACCACATTTGATGCAAATGAAAAACATTTGGTGGAAAGACAGCAGAAAGCATTACTTTCCATCATTTACGATAGAGCAAAAGATCCACTATCTTTTGGCTTTGGGTGTGATGGAATAAAGCAAAATGGATCTCTAAGTTGTCTGCACTTTTGTAATTAATGAAGTAGCAATTGTCAATCAATGCAACTTTACACGCAGCCATGGGTCTCTACTGGGTTGTTGTTGTTGTACAACAAAAAGCATTAATTATGTGGTGAGACTATACACAATCCAACAGGCTAATGCCACTCCTCCTACCCATATCAGCTAGGTCCACTTCCCTTACATATAAATTTGAAATTAGCCATTTAGGGAGTGCAAATAGTAAATTTGGGTGAGAGGAGTGACACTAGTTATTTAGGGTGTGAATTGAAGTGTGGTCTTGACAGCCAATAAAAGCAAGAAATAACAGTTGGCCATCACCTTAACACTATAGTCATAAGCAACAACTAAACCTCCCAAAACTGGACAACAACATAAAAATGCAAGAAAAGAGCTCAAATCTCCATACAGTTGACAGCAAAACCACTACTAAGCCCCCACTCTTAGGTGTTCTATTGACTAAAGATTTTTATCTAAAAACACAATTTTTAAAAGAGATATCTTATTGTCAGAACTTTAGAATCTTTTCAATGCCTAGTTTACCTACTTTGTCCAGATGCTTAAATATCACAGAGAGTCAAAGATCTACGGAGAAAGAAAAATGGAAAAGGAAAAACATGAAATAACTGCCTTGTTGAGTGAACAAATGATGTCACATAGTGTAGAGATGGTCAAACAATTACACACTAAGATTAATCATTGTGAGCATTAAGTTACAGAGTATATGCTTATGTTTAGAACATAGCACAGAAACGTACAAGTATATCAGAAGGTGAAATATCAAGCCACTGTTGAATCATCTGCAAGAATTAGCTAAAGCGATGAGCATCGGGTATAAATATAAAGAAAGAGATACCTTGATATTGAGTCATTGGAATTACTTACAGAAGCCCAATGCAAACGCAAGGAAGATGGAGTAATAATAAGAACAGGCCATGATTCACGGATACAACAACTTACAGCAATGGCCTGCAGCAAAGAGCACAACTTTGATAGATGTATTTATACTAATAGTGAAAGGTTTTGACATATGCACACCAAGTAACACTTAACACTCCCTCCATCCCATAAAAAGTATCCACATTTTCTTTTTTGTTTGTCTCAATAAAAAGGATCCACTTTCCTTTTGGAGAAGGAAAAGTGGTGGTCTTACAATTTTTCTCTTCTACCCAAAATTCAACCACGCAATTTCACCTTTTAATAATTAGGTCTGGTCAATTGTAAAACCCTATTTTGGAAAGAAAACATTTAATTAACAGTTACCCACAGTAGGAGCAAAAATGTTCAAATGGAGAATAGATTGCAATAGAAAAGCTAATGTCTAGTGAAGGGATATGATAACAAAAGCTACTAACCTAGACACTGGCTTTTCCAAAGACATAATACAAGAACACGTTAAACATTTAGGTTTCTGCATACATCATTTTTCTGCTTGTTTAAACAATGTTCTGCTTTCAATGCCGTCAAATAAAAGAGGTGCAAAATCAAGGAAAATGTCAAGTGTACCAATTCAGTTAATTGTATGTCAATCCATACACAATGCAATGTATCATTTACAAAAGCTAGGTTAATATTTGTTGGCCCAGGCCGATTACAAGTAGAGTTAAGGGTGGTATTAAACATTTTCCCACATTCCGGTGCATTTAACTACACCAAGTAACATGGACTATACTAATATAAGCAATTTCAATATGCCACAAACATAACTTTTGAACCGTTATGGATTTTAACTCTTTTGCTGGACTTCATTCCAGTACAGCCTTGATCTAATTATACAGTTCCTTTCATGCTCTCTGCCCCATTATCTCCCTTGTTTCAACATCTCTTACCATAGAAAAGTATGTAATAGCTTACAGATTTTTCCACCATTCCTTCCACTGGTAAAACCATTATTGTTGGCAAGTGATAACCAATATTCTTGAAAATGTTAGCCAACTTAGAAACACCTAATTTGGCACCTAATTGTTCCACGATAAGGACCAAGTAGATTCAAGACAAGTCTACAATATTGCTAACCTAATTGACAACCAATATTCTAGAAAAAAATTAGCTCAATTCAAAGCTAAAATATGGCTTAACTACATTGTGGGAATGTAGTTTTTGTTAAAGTACCACCTGAAGTGTCTTTCCAAGTCCCATTTCATCAGCTAGAAAGACACGAGCACCATGTTGCAAGGCAAATCTGGGAGGATTAACACTTAGTTCTCATGCGTTCAATTGATAATTGAACTACTTCAAATTCAAAAATATATCATAAACCAATACATACGCCATGTAAGAAAAACTTAAACTTACCGTACACCATCACGCTGAAAAGGCATTAGCTTTTTTTCAATGCCTTCGGGAATGTATTCATAGCGATCTTAGGCCAAAAAACAAAACAAAACAGCCAGCATGAATAGAATAATAGACTGGCATACAATTACAAATCCCTATACTTAACTGAACTAAGCCCAAAGCCTAGAGCATTTATGTTTACAGAAGAGCACTTGCATCCATGTTAGACAATACAAGGAGTGAGATTAAGGTTTCTATGTCACAAGGTTTGAAAAGAATTCATCATCGAAAGCAGTAGCAGCAACAACAAAATTTCAGACAATACATGAATGCGATTAAGATTGCTAAGTCTTTGAAAAGAGAGCATCATCACCATCACCAATAGAAAAAACAACCCAGTAAATCCCACAACTGCAACAAGCGGGGTCTCATGAGGGTAGATGGGTACAGAACTTACCCCTACCCAAAAGGTAGAGATGTTGTTGCTAGTAAACCTGGGGATCAGAAAACAAACTGGAAAGACAGAAGAAAAGGAGATGGTGGTAAAGACTAAAGAGGGTAAGTTTGAGAAGAAATCCGGGCAATCACATCAAAACATAGTAACCTTCACAACAAGCATTTCAATATGAGCTAACCACTGCATATTAGAAAGAACCAGGATAACTAATTTACCTTGAATATCACAAACTTTATTGGCTGCAGCAATAGCACGCCGCACCAACGGATCTAAGCTCTCAATCTACATAACAAGATACTAATCTCATGTTTTCGAAAAAAATAGGATGCACTTCAAATCAATTTGAACCACCGCTCAGATGGAAAACAATACTCCATTAAGTTGGGGATGAGGGAATATGGCACACAAATTAAGAAAGTGGAATTTTGTGATTGAAATTGTGATGTGTGGATAATCTGAGCCTCATAAAATATGACATTATATGGTAAGGGACAAGTATTTTAGGTCGGACAAGAAAGGGAGAAACATAGTGGGACAGAGGGAGCAACAACCTGGCATTGTTTATTTGGAGAAATGAAATCAAAGTGTATTATGTATATAACACACCTCCACGTTTAAGCTAGAAATTTCATTTAGGACTTTTTCTGCAGATGACAACGATGACAGAGGAAACATCCACAATCTACAAAAATTAAAAATACATAAGCACATCTAAGTTGAGGTTGACGCTACATACATTTGATTCTTTAACCATCTCAATACACTATTAGTCTACAATCAATTAAAAAATCATCATGGGGCGAATGCAAGCCCTGAAACATTTGAAATTAAGTGAATGCTTTGAAGGTGGGAAATGTAAGCCCATGTGATTTTTTACTCAATTTAAATAATATAAAAAACTGCATGCAGTCTAATATTAGGGAACACTTCACTCCTTTATTTCCGGTAAACTAATCAATTCAAATCCCTAAGAATCTAAAATGTGTGACATGAATTCCTCTCCCTTCCAACCACTTGAATTACCCCAGATGGCCTACTTCCTTCTGTCAAACTTGTACCTTCCCTACTTCTTTCCTTGCTCGAACATAGTGTGAAGTACAACTTATAATTTATTCATAATAGTACGATACACATGTAAATAAGGTAAAACAAAAAGTAAATTACTGCTAGTCTTTCACAATACAACCCAGTTGGATCCCACTAGGGAGGGTGTGTGTACACAAACCTTACCCCTACTCGAAATTAGAGAGGTTGTTTCCAAGAGACCACAGCTCGAGTATGAGCAAAAAAGTTGCAAAAGCAAACTAATGCTAACAAAGGAAATAGTCTTTCACAATAGTGATCCATTCAAGTATGCGTAGACTCTTACATTTTCCTTGATTATACTAAATATATGCATCAGTACAAGAGGTGAATGATAAACCCCCGGGACATGCACAAGTCTTATACGAGTACAACTCAACCGTTACGGCCCCCAGGTCATGCCAAAAGTAAAAAAGGTGAATGTGACCGCAGAACTTCTGAAGCAAAAACACTGCAAATGTCTTATTATCATAAGTTGCTCCTTCGGGGTTCCTATATGATCTACAGTTAATTGGAGGGATTCATGCAAACAGTTTGAACATGGTCATCATTCATCAAGAAGACATGTCATAAACTTAAATGAAAAGTCACATCACAATAAAGTTGTATACCGTAAGGCAATGGCTGGAATCAAATAAAGATCAGTGGTACCTTTCTTTTGCATTCCAACCAGCTTTAGGTATTTTGCGGAAGGCATCAACAAGTTGCTGGAATAAGGATAGAGCTTAGAGAATAAGAGCAATATGATGTAGCCATTTATAATATATTTATAAGAACCTGTTAGGGATTACTACCTGATCAAACAGGAATCTTGCAGCTATATTACCACTTGCATGGAGAAAAAGTTTAACAAAACGTTTTTGTGGCTTTCTTAACAAATTATCTTCATGGTGCCCTGTATTTCCACCAGAATGTTTTCAATACATTCATAATGAAGGGACTTAAATAGAAGTTATATGTGAACTTGATCAAATTTGAAAGATGCAAAGATATTACCAGCTGTTTTAGTTGACCCAACTGTAGTCGTTATTCTAGATGGTTGAGATTGAGCACCTTTCTGCACAAAGTTAAGGGAAGAGAATGTAGAACACAGACCCGCGTGATATAAATGGGCAACATAGAGAATGAACATCATTATGGAAATAATATTCATCACACAACAGATGATCCACTATAAAAATTCCACACTCCAGGTACAAGGGTACATCAATGGAAAAATGAACACATACTACAGCTGACCGTTTAACCTTTTTCAGTTCAGGCTACATCGTAAAAGATGAGTGACTAACTACTTAACAAAGGTCACAAGTATTTAAAAAATAAAGTCAATAGTGGATCTCACAAAAATTTAAATTTTGTTGTTTTGCTTGTTATAAAACAAGACTCTTTTTATGGGAAGGAGAGTAACATGAAACCCTTGTTAGATGCAACACAAAAACAGAAAATAGGCAGAGGCACCTGAGTATGCTGGACAGAGGTGGTAGCAGAATAAGACGACGAGTTGCGCTCGGCGATTTGTTTCAGGGCATCTTGCTCCAGAGAATCAAGCTCATGCGCACTAGGTTCCCAGTCATCCAATTCCATAGATGGATTATGCCGACTCAGGGTGCTGGGATGGAAATTTTACATATGGGATAAGATTCAAATAAGCCCCTCTACTAGTTAAGACTTAAGAAAAGTTGATTTCACCATTTTCACCCATAAACTCATCAGCTCATTTTTTAGGGTTTGGAATGAACAGAGAGTAACACTCTGATCGAAGTTCTAATGCTCGTTCATAACCCATTTGAAAGCTAGTTAAAACATATTACTCCGCATTTTAATTCAATTGTAAAACATACAAATTGAGGGTTGAAGGCTACCCTAGAATAATGTGATCTTCAATGACGGAGGATGAATGAATAATTCATCCTCAATTATAAAACCCCAAGAATTTGTGCAAAAAAAGAAAAAAAAAATCTTGATGCCGTTGAAGAATCCTAGAATCAGAATTTAATTGAAGCTTCAAGTTCAAAAACAAATCCTCATCTACATAAATCCCAGTAATTTGCGAAAATAAAATCTGATAAGATTCTAGAAAAGGATCTCATAGATTATACCTAGAGGTGGGAAATTTGATGAAGCTTCCAATCGGGAGAAACAGTATTGACAGAAGCGTCGCTGGAGGTCGTGATAAGCCAATTCCTAACATTCCAGTACCTCCATTATTCTGACCGCCAACTCCCTTAGGTCAGACGGTTTCAAATAAATACATTTAAGATTATGATTAATAAACAACTAGAAAAATTACGGAGTATTACTTTGTATTATTTTTAAATTTATAAAGAAAGTATTTAAAGTTTAACTTCGTAAATAATAAACTCCGTACTCCTGAATTTAAATTGGGTCGAATGAAGTGTGATATTTTATCTATTGAATGCTAAACTCATAAACACTTTGATCATCAATATCTATATAAATAAATTTGCTAAAAATTGAAAATTACTTAATCCATTTATCTTTTTTCTTATTTTTTGTTGCTCTTACTATTATTGTTTCATAAAATTATATTTTATATAATTATTTTCTTTTAATAACTTTATTTCAGACAATACTATATTTATCTTTAACAAATTTGATTTTATAGCATAATTAATTTTATCACAACATAACAAATAAAAAATGAATTTTTTTTAAAATAAAAAAATATAAATATTCAACTAATGCCTCGAAGTAATGAATTCTTTATTTGTCCTAAATTTTTTTACGTAAAATTTTTTCAAAATTTGAAATCATTATTAAATTTTTATTTTAAAATAAAAAGAAAAGTCAATTCATCATTAATAAAATTTGCCAGATAAGCAACCAATAAAGACTTGTCATCTCACCTTAATATAGACTACATAAGCTTGACACTTGGCGACTTTCTAGCAAACAGAATCTCAAATATTATATTAAAAGATTGTGCTACACCCTCATGTCTCATAATCTTACTCTTTTTTATTTACTTAAAATGCATGTTACTATTCGTTAAACGTAATGGCCGCGTATGACATAAATCTCTACGGATTCAAGTGATAATAACTCGAGCACTACAAACCTAGAAAAATTATAAGTTACAACACAGATTTTATACAGCAAACTCTAACTACTGTCAACGGTCTCGCTTAATCTGCTAATAATGGGAAAAAAGTAGTGTATGAGGGTTACTTCTTTCGCTGAAATTGATGCTTTTAGATTTACTTATAAAAGTTACTTTCTTTATATTTTATACACACACAAACACACATACATACATGCATGCATCCACAACTATACATGCATACATATATGAGTGTGTTAGGGATGTTTTCACTAGAATCCTTGGTGATGGATTTGGTTCTGAAGAATTGACACATACCCTTGGATTTTTTTAGAAAGGCAAGCGTTTTGAATACCAATCCAAGAGTGGATGACAATTCTTCTTGATCAAATAAGTCACGAAAGACTGTCATGAATATTTTCCTATATATACTCCATGCGTACCAAAAAGAACTTCACCATGCCCTTATTTGCATGTCCGTAAATAAACCTCACTCTTCTCATATTTAAATTTAAGGAAATGAAAAATAGTTTCCACCCATACAATATTCACTTTTCAACGGTTCTCTTACACTATGCTTGGTTCAAGGAATTTGAAAGGGAAAAGAAAAGAAAATGAAGTGGAAAGTACTTTTTTTTGTTTGGTTAGAGAGGAAAACAAAGGAAAAATGGAAGGAAAAGAAAATGAAAAGACAAAATGTTCTAAGTGGAGGAAAAACCAAATTTCTCTCATTTTAGTGAGGAAAATGAGAAAAATCATTTTCTTTTCGTTCGAAATTCCTTGAAACAAATATTTTGTGTTTGTAGAACTTAACCTAGCTAGAATAAGGATGCGCGTGTTTCTCCTCTCTTGTTTTCTTGTGCTTCTCTATGCTCTATTTCTTCACACTGCTGTGTTGGCACGCGATGGGCGGTCCTCATCGCTAGATCTAAGGGTTACCCGAACTACAGGCACCAAGTATTGAGTTGCTTTAGTTCGCGGATTGAGTATTGAAGAATTATTATTTTCTATTGAGAATAACGGAGGGCTAAGCCTCGTATATATAATACATTTAGAAGGTCGAAACGCGCCGCAACACTATTCTCCTCAGTCTCCTTCGAATTCACACCACGCCGCCGCCACAAACCCCATCTTCTCCTTCTTCTCCGGCGGGAAGCAGCAACAACGTTCAGAAGGGCTTTTTTCGGCAATGACCTCATTCAGCAGCGACGACAAACCGGCGAATCCCCTAGAGCAGTGACCCAGCAACGTCCGGCAGCGACTGGCACGGCGGTCATACTTGGGCAGTTCTGGGTAGCAGCGGGTAGTCGAGCAGCAGGCGGGATTACTCCGATGTTAGCAAGCGGAATTGAATCAAATTGAAACGAACTGAGGTGCGTACGTGAACATGCATCTAGGTTTGAAATTCCGTTCATAATTGTTATCATGGTTGATTGTGACTTATCTGTGTGATTATTGACTGTGGTTTCGGGAATTGCTAGCATTGAATTGAAAAGGGTAGTATGCATAACTTAGGTGTTGATTGACAAGTTAATGTGCTTGATAATGTTCGGATGTTGATATGAACCTATTGGTGTTTCTTGTTATGAGATTGCTTTTGGTTTGATGCTGAAAAATGAAATACAACAACAACAACCCAGTTGAATCCCACAACAGTAGGGTCTGGGGAGGGTGTGTGTACGCAGACCTTGCCCCTAAGTAGGGAGGCTATTTCCAAGAGACCCCCGGCTCCACCTACACAAACGAAATAGGTGTAAATAATGAAATTGTTGCGTCAGAGGGTAGGCAGTATTGCCGGGACAGTATCATGCTATCGTCACGCTCTATTTGTTCTTTCTCCTCTGTCAATAGTTGTGACCATTCACATACAAGTTTGGAAATATAAGCATATCTTTCCAAATAGTTGGTATCATCAAATCTAGTTACTATGAAAAAATTGGGACAAGAGAGAAAAAGCTCAAACTTAGCACTCCAAGTCCGCCATGATCAAAGTATATGAAGATATGATCATTTAGACCACAAATTGAACTTGTTCATTTTTAGCACAAGGTTTGTCCCATATAGTCTTTCCTTGAATAAATGTTAGATTAAGTGTTTTAAATTAGGGCAAAACGCTAGTAATATAAGGATCCGCGATTCAGAACTTTCTTCTCCAGTCGAAACGCGCCGCAACACTATTATCCTCAGTCTCCTTCGAATTCACACCACGCCGCCGCCACAAACCCCATCTTCTCCTTCTTCTCCGGCGGGAAGCAGCAACAACGTTCAGAAGGGCTTTTTCCGGCGATGACCTCATTCAGCAGCGACGACAAACCGGCGAATCCCCTAGAGCAGTGACCCAGCAACGTCCGGCAGCGACTGGCACGGCGGTCATACTTGGGCAGTTCTGGGTAGCAGCGGGTAGTCGAGCAGCAGGCGGGATTACTCCGATGTTAGCAAGCGGAATTGAATC